GGGAAGCCACCATCTGTAACCCAACAATATCCTGAGAATGTAGTAGATGTGGGACATTGTGAGTGAAGCATAATTCTACCTGGTAGGCAGCAACATCTGCAGGAAGAAAAGTTAGGAATCTGAGGGAAATATGTTCCAAGTAACTTTTCTGCCCCACTTCAGAGCCAGCCAGAGCTTGGTTGAGGATTGTTCAAGCAAGTATTTCCTTCTCATTCATATTTCTCAATGGCTTTATTTAAATAGTGATAACAGCAAAAGAAAAGGGATGCATCCCTGAAAATATTTTGTGTTCTTTTTCAGAAGAGATTTTGAATGGTAAAAGATTATTCCCTCCACTGTTTGTACAGACACAACCTTCTTCTGTCTGCAATGATAAATGTCACACGGGTTCTAGAAAATCAAAGAAGGAAGGGAAGCCTTTTTGTTGCTATGATTGCAGGCCACGTCCTGAAGGGGAGATTTCAAATCAGACAGGTGAGAGCCCTTTTACAAAGTCTCTCAGAAAGCTGTCTTGGTATATTTCATTAACTGGACTTAAATTACCCTCGTTTGAAAAGGTCTTCAGGTGAAGACATTTGTGTTGGAAGAAGAGTCCCACTGAGCAATTGTGATAGCATGGCACTATGATGTTACATTGAAACCAAAACACTCTTTCTTCTGAGATGGGGATAGGTGTGTGGAAAAAGGTTTGAGCACAGAACACAGGGAGCTTTCAGTAATGGGTTAGGCATTCTTGATTGTCTTTTTCCTGAGAGAGGAATGGATGTAGATCCTACTATTGCAACTTATAGAGGAAAAGATTAAAGCCAGCACCTCTCCAGCACTTCTGTATAGTACTGAAACTTGATCAGATCGATGACTTCCATATATAACTCTTGCTGATACATACATTTGCTTTTCCAGATATGGATACTTGCTTTGAATGTCCCGACAGTTATTATTCAAACCAAAACCAGGACAAATGTTTTCCTAAGTTTATCACTTTCCTATCGTTTGAGGAACCCTTGGGGACCTCCTTGGCCACACTGGCTCTTTTGCTTTCTGTCACCACAATTTTGGTCTTGCACATCTTTATGAAGTTCCATGACACACCCATCGTTAAAGCCAACAACCGAAATGTCTCCTACATCCTTCTCATCTCCCTCCTGCTCTCCTTCCTTTGTGCTTTTCTCATTGGCCAACCTGGGAAGGTAACCTGTCTCCTTCGACAAACTGCTTTTGGGCTCATCTTCTCGGTGGCTGTTTCCTGCATGCTGGCCAAAACCATCACTGTGGTGTTGGCCTTCATGGCCACCAAGCCAGGATCTAAGATGAGGAAATGGATGGGAGAAAGGCTTGCCACCTCCATTGTTCTCTCCTGCTCCCTTATTCAAGCTGCCATTTGTACACTTTGGCTGTCAATATCTCCCCCATTCCCAGGTATGGACATGCACTCCATAAGTGACCAGATTGTAATCCAGTGCAACGAAGGGTCAGACACTATGTTTTATTGCGTCCTTGGTTTTATGGGTTTCCTTGCCGTTATGAGTTTCACTGTGCCTTTCCTATCCAGGAAGCTTCCGGACAGTTTCCAGGAGACCAAGTCCATCACCTTCAGCATGTTGCCGTTCTGCAGCGTGTGGGTGTCCTTTGTTCTCACCTACCTCAGCACCAAGGGGAAGTACATGGTGGCAGTGGAAGTCTTCTCCATCCTGGCTTCCAGTGCTGGCCTCCTGGGGTGCGTCTTTTTCCCCAAATGCTACCTCATCATCTTGAGACCAGATCTGAACAAAAAGAAGCATCTAATAAAGTGGAACAAATAAACAAAATCTCATCTTGGAAGGCATTGCATATTGCGTATCCATACCAATGAGAAGCAGAAACAGAAGCAGAAGCAGAAGTAAAAGAAGCTGTGGCAATGTGTACCATCTTGTTAATTAACATATATGTATGCTTGCACAAGATTTAATATATTCAGAATGGTTTGACCATTTTTTTCTGAAATATGTTCTCCCCCCTCCCCCAAGTTTTATTATTTTCTCTTCAAATCTAAAACTAAAGTAACAATTATTCCAGAGATATCGGACATACTAGATTGACATCTGTGAGGAGGCAGAGGGGCTCATCCCTTTTCCTGGGGCCTTCCATAGTGCAGGGCTGGAGACAACAGGGCAAGGCTTGGGTATCCATATAGGGAGAACAACTCACAAGAAGGCAGGGGCCAGGGGATATGAGCGAGCATGCAGTTGTACGGGACTGCAGACCAAGGCTTTAACAGCTGGGGTGGATGGAGTCATGCATGAGGAAGGAAGATAAAGAGGAGGAAGAGGAAGGAGGGGGGAGAGGAGAGAGAGATGGCGAGAGTGCAGAGAACGTGGAAACACACATGTGTTTGAGGAACAGCTGGTGTGGCTGCCACTGGCAGGCAGGCCAGGGCAAACTGTTGGCAGAGACTGGGGAGCACTACTGCCAGGATGGTGCAGTTCATTGCCATAGCGACAGGAGGGAAGGGAGCTGGAGCAGGCAAGGGCCAAGGCACTGTGGGAAGTGAGTGGTGGAAGTGTAACGGAAGAATAAAGGCTGGGTGAGTGCCCCACCTTTCTTGTGTTGCTCTTCATGGAGAAGCCACGAGGGGGTCTTTGGCTTGCAGCCCCCTCCTGGTGCAGTCACATCTTACTCCTTTTTACAATCAATAACCATATTCAATTTTACATATAGTCCCGCTTCCCTAACCAATAATAAAAAGAGTTCCAATTTTGATATGAGTATGTACCTTACTTCTCCTTCAAAGTCAATCTGTCCATTTCAGCCAAATCCAAAATATCTTTTAAAATCACCTCTTCAATAGATGACTCTTCATTCCTCCACTGTTGAGCAAATGTAATTCTCGCTGTGGTATTTATGTGAAAGATCAAATATATACATTGTTTATCAAAGTCATCAGGAATAA